AAGAAATGGATTATAAGAAACAGAATGACAGAATCAGAGGATGTGAAACACAGGGGCAGAAACAGAGGGTGAGAAGCAGATGGTGCGAAACAGAGTGTAAGATACAGAGGGGCAGAAACAGAGGGTCAGAAACAGACAGTGAGGAACAGAGAGTCAGAAACAGAGGGTGAGAATGACAGAGTGCGAAAAATGGGGTGAGAAACAGAAGGACAGAAAAAGATGGTGAGAAACAGAGGGGCAGAAACAGGGGAGCATAAACAAACTGTGTGAAACAGAGGGTGAGAAACAGAATGTGAGAAAGAGGGTGCAAAAGAGAGTGTGAGAAACAGAGGGTGCCAAACAGAAGGGACAAACAGAGGGCGAGAAACAAAGTTTGCGAAATAGAGGGGGACAAACAGAGAGGCAGAAACTGAGGGGGAGAAACAGAGGGTGTGAATCAGAGGGTGAGAAACAGAGGGGCAGAAATAGACGGTGAGAAACACAGGGGCAGAAACAGAGTGTGCGAAACAGAGGATGAGAAACCGAGAGTGAGAAACTGAATACGAATGAGAGCTTGAGAAGCAGAGGGTACGAAAAATGGGTTAAAAACAGATGGTGCAAAACAGAGGGTGCAAAACATAGGGTGATAATGAGAAGCCCTGAAACAGAGGGGCAGAAACAGAGGGTGAGAAAGACAGGGGCAGAAACAAAGGGTGAGAAACAGATAAACAGAAAGAGAGGGTGAGAAACAGATGGACAGAAAGAGAGGGTGAGAAATAGATGGTGCAAAACGGAGGGTGAGAAACAGAGGGTGCGAAATAGAGGGTGAGAAATAAAGGGGCAGAAACAGAGTGTGAGAAATAGAGGGTGAGAAACTGGATGTGAATGAGAGCTTGAGAAACAGAGGGGAAGAAACAGAGGGTGAGAAACAGAGGGGGCCAAACAGAGGAGCAGAAACAGAGGGTGAGAAACAAAGGGTGCGAAAACTGGGCAGGAAGCAGATGGTGCAAAACAGATGGTGCAAAACGTAAGGTGAGAAAGAGAGGCCCCCAAACAGAGGGGCAGAAACAGAGGGTGGGAAAGAGAGCAGCAGAAGCAGAGGGTGAGAAACAGAGAGTGCAAAAAAGAGTATGAGAAACAGAGGGGCAGAAAGGGAGGGTGAGAAACAGACAGACAGAAAGAGTGGGTGAGCAACAGGTGGGCAGAGACTGAGGGTGCAAAACAGAGGGTGAGAAACAGATGGAGAAAAACAGAGGGGGGCAAACAGAGGGGCTGAAGCCGAGGGTGAGAAGCAGATGGTGTGAAACAGCAGGTGAGAAACAGAGGGCAAGAAACAAAGGGTGAGAAACAGTGGGCAGAATGAGAGGGACAGAAACAGAGGAGCAGAAAGAGAATGTGAGGAACAGAGGGACAGAAACAGTGGGAGAGAAACAGACGGCGTGAAAACGAGGGTGAAATCCAGAGGGGCAGAACAAGAGGGTGAGAAACTGAGGGTGAGAAACAGAGGTTGAGAAAAAAAGGGTGTGAAAGAGAGGGGCAGAAACAACGGGTGAGAAACAGCAGGTGAGAAACAGCGGATGAGAAACAGAGTGTGAGAATCAGAATGTGAGTGCAAAACAGTCGGTGCAAAACAGAGGGTGTGAAACAAAGGGGGAGAATCAGAGTGGCAGAAACAGAGTGTGCGAAACAGAATGCACAAAATTGTGGGGCAGAAACAGAGGGGTACAAACAGAGTTTGAGAAACAGACGGTGCAAAATAGACCACCAGAAATTGAGGGGGATAAAGAGAGGGTACAAAATGGAGGGGCAGAAACAGAGGAGCAGAAAGAGGATGTGCAAAACAGAGGGTGAGAAACAGATTGTGAGAAAGTGGGTGCAAAAGAGAGTGTCAGAAACAGAGGGTGCCAAACAAAGGGGAGAAACAGAGGGCGAGAAACAGAGTTTGTGAAACAGAAGGGGACAAACAGAGGAGCAGAAACTGAGGTTAAGAAACAGAGGGTGCAAAGCAGAGGGTGAGAAACAGAGAGTGTGAAAAATGTGTTAGAAACAGATGGTGCAAAACAGAGGGTGCGAAATGTAGGGTGATAAAGAGAGGCCCTGAAACAGAGGG